CTCATGTTTGTAGTTTCTTTTTCTGACAGATTTTTGTCTTCTTTACCCTATTTTTATGTCCCTCTTTGCATTAAAATTTCTTACGATTTCGGTAACATTCTTAAATAAATCTCATGACCTTCCCTTTCTATCATTATCCTTGATTTCTCTGCACTGATTATTTGGATACATTTCCTTATCTCTTCTTGATCTTATCTGGAACTCAGCTTTAATGGGGTACAGTTTCTCCTTCCTCTGTGGCCTTTTTCCCTTGTAATTCTGGATATCTTTGTGTTGTCTTTAATGATGTCATAAATTTTAGCCCAGAACTGTTCAGGCATTCTATTTATCCATTCTAATCCATTAAATCTATATGCTGTAGCATCACCGCATAATCCTATCACACATTACTGAAGACAAACTTTGCTGGTTTGATGATTTTATTTGTTTTCTTTAGTTTCACTGCAAGAAGGAGTTTGAACAATCTGCACTCATTCTTGGCTTTGCCGACAGAATAGATGGTTTCCATCTTTACTTGAAGAATATACATGTCATGGTTCCGACTAATGAAAGACTTCAAAGAACTTCCAGGCATGTTTATCCTAAAGCCTTTATTACCAGTGTTACAAATTGATGGCACATCATGGAGGTTTATGCCAGAATCTGAATTCCTCTTGCTGGCATCTAACTTTTATTGCTAACCCCCTCCCTTATCTTGCAGTCACAAGTCACATCTTCCAATTAGCCCAGAGGGCAGAGATTCACTTCCATTCCTTTTCCCGGGCTTTTGTTATTTCCCCTCCCTTTTCTCCGTCATCTGAATTAACTCTAAAAATACCAGACAGTTCTGCATATTTTGTCAAAGCAAGAATATTCAATATTAGCAGCGTTGACATCACAATCAATTTAATTTTGGTGATTGTCCATGCAGCAATATCTTTTAGGTTGCTGAAATGAGGTATTTGTTATAAACTTAGTATTTTCTCGGCAGAACTCTGCCTTTTCCATCATTCTGTATACGGAGTCCATATTTTCCCATTATATTACATGATATTTTATTTTCAACTTTTAACATTCCAGGCTCCTATAAAAGTAAAGGTTTCTGCTGCCCAGTCATACCTGATGCTAGTGTTCATCGCTGTTTCTTAGCTGAAGGTGCCAGTGTTGTCTGAAGACACTTCCATAGTCATGTGGCCAGCACGACTGAACGTTATAACCGTCTTACCAAAGTAGTATCTATTTATTTGCTTGCATTTGCATACCCCCAAACTGTTCTGTGGGCAGGAGCTGGAGCAAGTAATGGGAGCTCACCCCATCACAAAGAGCTCGGGTCTCAAACCCGGGCTCTCAACTTTCCAGTTGACAAGTTCAGCCTCTTTAACCACTGAGCCATCACATCGCGTCCCAGTCTCCTATACTTATTTTGACATTGTTGAGGGTGTTGTATCAACAAGGGTTCAAAAGTCCCATAAAACCGTTAGGAGTTCTCTTTCGTCTGTATCTCTGATTGGAACTTAAACTTGGGATTGTCATAATATTTGTTGGCTTGCTTTTCATCCAAACAGAGATGATCCCATTGGATACTTTCTGAGTAGAAAGACTCCTCTTCTAGTAACACACTGACGTTTTTGTAAATCTCCTTTTAGTTTTCTTGACCGTAGGTTACTCATGCCTAAAAAAGATATTATTCTTTCCAAAAGCATCTCTCTTTCTTCTTTTAGGGAATAGAAATTGTAAGAAAAGTATATTTATTTTCTACGAGCTTACATTTTTATGTTTCTTTTACAATCTTTTTCATCTTGTAAAAGATAATTGAGGCACTACTCAGCAGGTTGAATCAGATTTCCTTTTTAAAGTTATGCTTTTGCCAAGCATTATAGATTTGATGATGTGGGAACATGTCAAGTGTTGAGAAAGACGTTAAGAGTAAATAAATGCTGCAGCTTGATCCTATATAATACTTCCCCCCCCCCACAGTATGTAGTTTCTTTTCTAACTTTTAAATAGGTTCTTGTATGTATGTATACGTGTCTTCTCCAGAAACCCATACCTGAAAACTTCAAAAAAAATAGTATCAAATGATCACAGAATATGAGCATGTATGCCAGATGTTGTTGAAATTTATATATTTTGGGAGTGGGTTTTTATGCATCTTTTGCAGATTCTGCAAAGTTCTATATTATCATAAAAAACATGACTGTCCCTACGGAATGTGAGCAGACATTTGTCTTCTGATTTCTCTCTGGCAAAACGCATAAAAAGCCGTATTTATTTGGGATCTTAAGAATTGTATTCCTAGCTTATCTGAAGGTAAAGCACCAGCTAGGTTCTGCCATCTCCAAAAACCAAACAGAATGAGAGAAGGATTTTGACCTCAACCTCAAAACATATTGTAAAGGAAATAATGCAACTTGGATCATAAACTGCATTGGAAATATTTTTCTGGGTTTCAAAGAGAGGTTTTTTTTATGTAGACTCTTCAGTTTAAAGAAATATTTGGCCTGCTAATATAAATTTCCTATCCTTATCCGCTTACCTGGAAGTAAGTCCTATTGAGCTTGGTAGAACTTACTTCTGTGTGAAGTAAAGAGGATGCTGCTAAGCCACTTGCAACAGCATTGCTATGATTTTACTCAAATATATACAATAATTTTAATACATCCAGGTGCAAATCACATTATACTCATTCTGGGGTTGACCTATTTTCACTCAAATAATAATCATCCTTTGCATATTCTAGTAAGGGAGAAGTTAAATTCTAAGAGAATAGAGTGCAGGTGTTCTTTTTCTTTATAGTAATGATGGTATTTAATATCTAATAGATCTCCTCTTTAGGAATATAAACAGGGAGAGATAAGTGCAATTTTTTATCAAACAATTAAACAATTTCAATCCTGCGAGCTAGGGTATGAAAAAAAGAGCTGTTTCTCAGATTACATGCCATACTAGCCATGTTTGTAAGCAGCACATTTATGAACAAGACAACATTCTTGGGCATGATTTATTAGAGTATCCTCGGAGTAAGTAGGAAGCAGATACAGAAAGCTGTTTTTGTGAAGCGGTGAAGAAGGTGACAAATGGTGACAACCAAAGACACTGGACTAGCCTTGAGAACAGAGCTGACTACTTGACAACTAATATAATACACTACCTAGGAGTTTCTTGGGTCTTCAAAATGTTATATTGGTGATAAGTCTTTTTTTGAAAATTTTTTTAGTGTAATTAAACCAATGCTGGGTGTGTGGAATGTTTCCTCTGAAAGGGAATAAAGGAACACATATATTCTATTAATAAAGATAAAGGTTTCCCTGTCCAGTTGTGTCCGACTCTAGGGCACGATGCCAAGGGAATCAGCGTTGTCCAAGGACATTTTCTGTGATCATGTGCCCAACATGGCTATACACCAAAGGCGCACGGAATGCTGTTACCTTCCCACCAAAGTGGTACCTATTTATCTACTTGCATTTGCATGCTTTCGAATTGCTGGATGGACAGGAGCTGGAGCAAGGAACGGGAGCTCATCCGTTGCACAGTGCTCGGGTCTCCAACCCGGGCTGTCAGCTTTCCAGTTGACGAGCTCACTGTTTTTAACTGCTGAGCCATCGCGATTCCTCATATCCTATTAAGAACCATCATTTCCTAATCATCAAATTTGTAAAAAAAAAAAAAAAAAAACTGAATTGCAGATTTATAGCCTTAGAAATAATGCCTGGAACTTCATGGGATGAAAATGACATGTCAAATAGTCATTTTTGAATAATCAAATAGAGGAATACTTTGTGCAACAAGGCTGTCCAAGAGCTAAGTTGGTAACTTTTATGGGACATATTTAAAATCATGTGGAGATCTAGCATCTTGCGGCTTTTATCTACATATATGGAAAGTTCTCCTGGAAGATGATTGGATGATGTTTTCCAATCAAATAATGACAACTTGGCAGAATTTCTTCTCAAGAGGCAACAGGGCTTCAGCTCTTCTTTCCACAACTACTGTACCAGAAAGATTTATACCCACGGCAGGCTATTGAGTCATTTGTTCCAACTATACCAGGGGTTCTCAACCTTGGCAACTTTAAGACTTGTGGACTTCAACTTCAAAGCTGGCTGAGGAATTCTGGGAGTTGAAGTCCACAAGTCTTAAAGTTGCCAAGGTTGAGAACTCCTGAACTATACCTTCTTCCTCAGCTTGTAACCCACAAAATTCACCACCAGTCCCAGATGTTACCATGTAAGAAGGCCTGGTCTATGACTGATCACTGTTCTTTGGAGTTTCAAGAGAGAGCTCTTTTCCAGCCCGTTTGCTAGAATTTAACTTGTCACATGCTCTATAGCAGGGGTCCTCAACCTTGGCAACTTTAAGACTTTTGGACCTCAACTTCCAGAATTCCTCAGCCAGCTTTGCTGGCTGAGGAATTCTGGAAGTTGAAGTCCACAAGTCTTAAAGTTGCCAAGGTTGAGGACCCCTGCTCTATCAATGGGCTCTGTACAAATCTTTTATAAGGATTTCGTAAAGGAAAGGATTTTTGGAGTAGGATAAGGTTTCTCCCTTGAGCAAGAGATTGGATAAGAAGATCTTCAGGGTCCCTTCCAGCTCTCTTATTCTGCGTAGGTTTTGATAAACTTTGATAGAGAGCCAGCATGATATAGTGGTTAAGGAACTGGATGAGGATTGTAAGATCTAGATCTAGTCTTTCCTTCGGCACGTAAACCAGCTGGGTGGTTTGGGGCCAGTCACTCTTTCTCATCTTCCTAGCTTAAGTTCTACAGCCAGTAGGTTGAAAAGCAATCCCTTTGTTGCGTTGTGCATTGGCAGCTTTGGTGCGTCAGTGAAGCAAGCACAATGTAAACAAAGCAGAGGCTGTAACTAAGCAGGACAAAATGCTAGGGCAGAAAAAGAGAAGACTTGGTGCACAGTGTGAAAGACAAGAATAATGAACATATTTCTGAAGATCAGGGCTCTCTGTGTTTGGTCACATTCTGCCAATCTACGGCTGCTGGCGAAGTGTATTTTTCAGCAATTACCTGTGTGTGTAGGTTAATGGAGGACTGATTCGGGGAGTAAGGTCCCCCAAGGTCATTCCTGAGAAGGTTGTCGCTGTGCATCTTAGTTTTGAGGCAGGTGATGTAACGGTTACAAAAGTCTTTGCACAATTCGTTCACTTTCTCCAACTCCAAGAGATGAATTCGGAGGACCTGAATAGCTTTCACCATCTGCAGACAATTAAAAGCAAGAGCTGGGGTCATTTTACTTATAGAAAACAACAAATGCATCGATGGAAGATAATGCCTTCAAACGACGGCAATCAGTTCTGCTATGTTCCTTAATTAATTATGTATTTAATCATTGAAAAATGCAGGCGCTTTCTCGTTTTTATTTTTATGTTTGAAAAAAAAAATATTTCTCTTATATTTCTGATCCAAAAAACCCTCACAAGTATAGGTGCATTTGTGCACAGGCAAACACACACACACACACACACACACACACATCATGTTATCTAGTTAAATGATCGGTGTGTACATCCCTTTACTTAATAATAAGTAATGGGAAAGTAAAGATATAATACGGGTAGTCCTCAATCTGTAACCACAATCAGGGGTGAGAATTTCCATGGTTAAGCACACGGATTGTTAAGTGTGCTGTGTCTGATTTTATGACCTTTTTCCATGGTTGTGGAGATGCAGTTATTAAGTGAGTCACATGCTTCTTAAGTGAATCTGGCTTTCCCCATTGACTTTGCTTGTCATAAGCTGATTGGGAAGGCCACACTTGGAATATTGCATTCAGTTTTGGTCACCACAATGTAAAAAAGATGCTGAGACTCTAGAAAGAGTACAGAGAAGAGCAACAAAGATGATTAGGGGACTGGAGGCTAAAACATATAAGGAACAGTTGCTGGAATTGGGTATGTCTAGTTTAACGAAGAGAAGGACGAGGGGGGACATGATAGCAGTCTTCCAATATCTCAGGGGCTGCCCCAAAGAAGAGGGAGTCAAGCTATTCTCCAAAGCGCCTGAGGGCTGGACAAGAAGCAATGGATGGAAACTAATCAATGAGAGAAGCAACCTAGAACTAAGGAGAAACTTCCTGACAGTTAGAACAATTTATTAATGGAACAACCTGCCTCCAGAAGCGGTGAATGCTCCAACACTGGAAGTTTTTAAGAAGAGACTGGACAGCATCTGTCCGAAATGGTGTAGGGTTTCCTGCCTGAGCAGGGGGTTGGACTTGATGACCTTCAAGGTCCCTTCCATCATCATCATCATCATCATTATTGTTGTTGTTGTTGTTGTTGTTGTTGTTGTTGTTGTTGTTATTATTATTATTATTATTATTATTATTATTATTATCCCATAACTCCGAGACACTGCAAACATGTGATTATAGGAATGTTGCAATGGTTGTAAGTGTGACAACCAGTCACTTTTTTCAGGGACATTTCCACTTTGAACAGTCCCTAAACGGACAATTGTAAGTTGAGGGTTACCGGTATCTATTCTGCTCATTGCTCCTGTGATCAAATAGTTGTTCAGCTATAGACATAGTTACATACTGTGTAATTGATGGAAAATAGGTCCCAACTTTATAGCACCAGATTGTTGCAATCATAAAAAAGCAAAAACCTTCTTAGCTGCTGTTTTCTTGTTTCTTTCCAAACAATCAATATACAGTTCAATAGAACATGAGCCTGTACAAAAACTGACCAGTCCCCCATATAGAAAGAATAGATGAAATAATTTTTCTCCAAAAAGAACCCATCATAACACATAACCACTTCATAGTACAATTGCTGTTTGACAATTAGCTGAAAATTCAGCTTCTTCCTAAACAGATTCAAAAGTGTCCAAAATAATCATTATTTTTAATAACCCACAAATTTTAAACATGGACAATGAAGGCAGAGATTCCCCAAATATTCAAAAAAAACCCAAGTATACAATGATATCTTAAGTACTATCTTAGAAGAATCATCCCCTTTAATAGGAGTGGAATTTTTTTCATGGCTACACAAGTGAAGGGTGACGTGTGGAGCTGGTCTACTATCTATGTAAGAAAAATGGAAGATCATGGAGAATAGAGATGCAGCTGTGAGTGAAATTGCCAACGATCGAGCTTCCTGTGGATCCTGGATTTCTAAAAAGCAGAAAAGCCATGTGTCATGGTATGTGCTGATGACTTTGAGCAATGAGGGGAAGAGATGTTGCCTAAGAAAAAATTAAAAAAGAGAGGCAGGAGCCCTCAGTGGCTTAACAGTCAGGGGAAGATACTTAGGAAGGACCTGCCAAAGATGCTTTTCCAAAAGGCAACTGGACTTTCTTGGTTTTTATTGTTTTTTTTTCTTTTGAAAATGTTTCGTTTATCATTCAAGAAGCTTCTTCAGTTCTGGCTACAGCTTCTTGGATGAGAAACAAAATGTTTTCCAGAATAAAACACACAAGAAAGTCCAGTTGCCATTTGGAAAAACACCTTTGAGACAACTATCACCTGGATGTTTGAGAATCTCCACAGACATTTAGGAAGGACATCCCCTAATGGATCAGGCAGTTAAAAGCTTGTACTTTCAAACTTGGAAGATTCTGTAAATTAAAATCTACAATAAAGTAGATTTAGTTCACCTACTGGTGTTTCCTGTTTGGTTTACCCAGGAGGGCTGACACCCTGTCAGAACTGGACTACAGGTAGTTCTCAACTTACAACGACAACTGATCCCCAAATTTATGTAGCTAAGTGAGAAATTTGTTAAGTGAGTTTTACCCCATTTTATGACTCGCCACCTTTGTTAAGTGAATCACTGCAGTTGTTAAATTAGTAACACGGTTGTTAAGTGAATTTGGTTTCCCCATTGATTTTGCTTGCCAAAAGGGGATCACGTGACCCCAGGACACTGCGCCCATCATAGATGTGAGTCAGTTGTCAAGCGTCTGAATGTAAATCACGTGACCCTGGGGATGCTGCTACGGTGGTAACTGTGAAAAAGGTTCATCAGTCCCTTTTTTCACTGCCGTTGTAACTTTGAACAGTCACTAAGTGAACTGTTGCAAGCGGAGGACCACCTGTACTGTTCTATGTCTGCTAATGGATGCTGCTGGCGCCACTAAGAGAGGCACAGCTCCCAAATGTTCCCCTGGGAAAACTCAGCTTTTCATTCTCGGAGCATTTTGGAATCCAGCCATGAGAATTCTTAAGAGCATCCTTGATTATTCTCAGCTGACTTCTCTGTTTAACAAGCCCAGAGAATGAAAAATCTGCCTCGTAAGCTCTCCCTTGGGAGAAGTCTTGGCCTTCATAAAATGTACCCCATAAATGTTAAAAAATTTACACATAAAACATGCCATGCATGGAATGGAGGCCTTCCATTTTTTATAGCCCCAGCTCCAAATCCTGAATCAGGTATAAAATCTCAGCTATTCACCCCAGAGTAGTAAATCAGCTTTTTAAAAATTTTGTAACAAATGGTCTTTACATTTCAAACCAGTTTTTTCAACTTGCTAATTTTAATGGTCCCTTTTACCAGCTTATTAGTCACAGGCTGTTCAAGGAGTGGCCCACTGCACTTATCAACCTGGAATTTGCTTTGGATTCTGCTAAGAAGAAGTAGCAGCATGATTATTAAGGAAGGTGCTATCAAAGAGCGCAGAATATCAATTTTTCTTCTATGATAATGGAAGGAACAGTTTGAAATAAACTTACCTAAGCTCACATTTTTAAATCAATAGAGAAATGGAAACTTTATCAATTGACAACCATAGCTCTGCTTCGCAATGCAGTTTGTCAGTAAGGATCTATATTAACTTGTATTGAAATACACCTCTTACTAAACAAAATTTTGTATTAAAACCTGGTGGAACTGTGGTGGTGCAGTGGTTAGAATGCAGTATTGCAGGCTCACTCTACCGCAGCCAGGAGTTCGATCCTGATGGGGTTGAGGTTGACTCAGCCTTTCATCCTTCCGAGATCAGTAAAATAAGGACCCAGATTGTTGGGGGGGGGGGGCAATATGCAAATAATGCTTCAGCCTTGTGACTCATTTGTAAAGTGCTGTAAAACACTCTGTGGTAGTGTATAAGTCGAAGTGCTATTGCTATTGCTAAAATATAAATTTGGAGCAAAATTTTAAAAGGAGCTTTTCTCCCATTTGACAAACCAAACTTGACCTTCTCACAAAATTAAGCAGCCAAGAGAAATGAAAATGGATGGGTTCCTCTATCCCCTTGCGGAAGTATGAAAGCTTTCCTAGCTGAATTTCAAAAAAGGCAGAAGGGAAAAGTAGATAGAGAAAGGAGAGAATAATTTAATATTATTTGAAACTAAGGCACTTTGTGTGCAAATAGGGGGAAAATTCCTACAACTGCCCCATCTACTAAAGGATGCTTGTTATTAAAACTTCACCAGAAGCAAACTCAATTGTCCACCGGCTCTCAGTCAGGTCATACTATGAATTTCTCCTTCCTTCCTTCCTTCCTTCCTTCCTTCCTTCCTTCCTTCCTTCCTTCCTTCCTTCCTTCCTTCCTTCCTTCCTTCCTTCCTTCCGTGGGGGAAGTGAAGGGAACACAGTAGAGTCAGTGAGGGAAACTGGATTTGCCTAATGTCTGGGTGATACACTTCACAACTGCAGTGATTTGTTTAACAACTGTGTCATAAAAGGCCATAAAATTGAATATGACTCAGTGAACAATTGCCATGCTTAGCAAAGGAAATTATGGTCCTAGCTGTGGTTCATAAGTTGAGGAACACCTGTACAGGAAGAACTATTACCCCAATTATCCAAATGCAGTTATCCACCTGTCTTCAACAGGGGGAAGCTGGAAATGAAGGAAGAAGTGAGAAGACAACCAGCCCGTTCTTCCCACATACATCAATAGTCACAGAATAGGACTAATCTAGTACAGTGAAGTGAATGTCAAGATGGAAAGTGCCTTCTCAGCCATGAAATTCTGGTTATGAACCTAGCAGAGACACCATCCTTCTGCATCTCCAGCAAGGTTTTTGTGAAGATGAAAGAGGACAGGAATAGAAGTCCCAAGGGCCACTCTCAGCTCTTGGAAAGATCCACAAGATTGCAAGAAAGAAAGTAAAGGAAGAACCATGATAGTAGAAGTTCTCCAGTAACATTGGACCTGCTCAACAAACATCGTCCTGAAAGTTAGCATTCAAGGGCAAGGAAAGTTGTGTGTGCCCAGGTATATACACCTCTCTTCATGTGTGTAAGTGTGTGTGTGTGTGTGTGTGTGTGTGTATTATATATTATATATATAATAAATCTCTCAATTATCTCAGCTCATTTGCTCGGGGTCTCTCATTTTATGTCTCTGCTTTGCTGAGCCGTATATCTGTCCGGATAATGAGTTACAGTCCGATGGAATACGTGTGCGGGGTTGTAAAAAATACAGATGCTGAATTAATTGACTGTGTGGCACTCAGCAGCTGATTGAGTTGATAATGGCGAGATCTGACCTTTTTCTAATTTCTAATTATGTGCATCTCGCCTGTGAGGAATACATGATTCTTATTCTAATGATGGTTAATGTCCCTGGCCTTTTCCTCTCCTCTTTGCTGTCAGCTATGGTGGACAATTTACATAGGATTAGTAGCATTAAAACCATGTACATACAACAAATAAACTTTGGGAGATGAGGATCATGGGGAAGGAGGATTCATTTGAAGCATCACGGTTTGCAAGACTTCCAAGTACTGTCGCCTATGAGCTTTAAAAAAAAATCCAGGAAAACAATCGGAGAGATAACAATAACAGTTAATATATTAATATTAGTAGTGATAGAAGCAAAGTTTAGTGGTATTGTGAGTGCTGCTATAGCTACAGGAACTGGGTATGTCTAGTTTAATGAAAAGAAGGACTAGGGGTGACATGACAGCAGTGTTCCAATATTTGAGCGGCTCCTACAAAAATGAGGGGGTCAAACTATTTTCCAAAGCACCTGAAGGCAAGACCAGACAATGAATGGAAACTAATCTAGGAGAGAAGCAACCTAGAATGAAGGAGAAATTTCCAAACGGTGAGAGCAATCAACCAATGGAATAGCTTGCCTTTAGAAGTTGTGGGTGCTCCATCACTGGAGGCTTTCAAAGAGAGACACTTGTCTGAAATGGTATAGGGTCTCCTGCTCAAGCAGAGGATTGGACTACAAGACCCACAAGATCCCTTCCAACTCTATTATTCTATGTTCTATGTGTAGTGTGTACACTACTGACTGGTTATAGTTCTACTGGAAAATCTGGGGAATTTCCAGATTTTCCCATTCTCCTTGGTGGCCAATGGGATGTTTTCCATGGAAAATAAAGACAGCAGCAAGGAACTCAGACTAGTATTTGATTGTTAGTCCAGATGGGACCATTTTTGCTTCATGCAAAATGCCACTTTGTCACCAAAGGCCACTTCTGTTAATGAATTTGAAAGAAAAATGTAACACATTGGTGGCAATGACCTTCAATTATTTACTGATGCAGAACCAGTGATGGTCAGTCCGGCACAAGGTCTATCTATATGCTGCTAAATTTTCTGACTATAGAATCTGGGATTGGAAATCCTATATGATCTTAGAAATCTTGGTGCAATCGCTAAAAAGGCTCATCTGAAAGGAACCGGGGATTCTTAAGGGCTGTATTAGAAGGGTATAATAAGTCTTCTGGTTATGAAGTGTTTCAGCCACAAGTACAGTCTGGAGCCAAGGACATCCTCATCTTTATTACATTTAATTATGTTCCAGTAAAAGAAGTACATCAAGTGAAATCAACTGATGAAAAGAGAAAGACTCTGCCAGCCTTATAGGAGAACCGCAGCATCTTATAGCCCTTTTGAATTCATTGGCACAGCTTTAACTTTTGACACTGAATCCCTTGGATAAATGACACAGGATACTAACATAAGAACAGTGAACTTTAATATAATCTGTACAAAAATAGCAGAAGGGAGTTGGAACAAATTGCAAAAAAACCCAAAACCCGTCTTGAAACCAAGGAAGAAATCGGGCATTTAACTGATTGTGATCTCCTTCAAATCTTTTCCAGCTAACTTCTCTAGAAGAAATGTTCATATTCATGTATCTTAAGGAAAAAAAAAATCACTCTCCATGAAAACAAAAAAACAAACAAAAGGAAAATTACAACTACTGCTGCTTTCAAGTTTTTTTTAAATAAATACATAACCCTTAACTCGCCTTTGTCCACAACTCACTAACTCACTCACTCACTTACATGCTCGCTCATTCATTCATTCATTCATTCATTCTTGCAATTTCAACCAGCAAGAAAGATCAAGGTTTTTTTTCTGCTATACAGGTCCTGCAGGTATAAATATAGTTTTCCAGGAGAGAAACAGCTTTGTCATCAGGAGCTGAAGTTGCAACATGTTGTTTTCAGCCAAATATTGAAAGAAGATGCCAAAAGGAGAGAGAGTGTTTGCACAGCCTAAGTGGATGTCAAAGTGACCAGCCCAAAAAACTCAGTGTCAGCAATTGTCACTTTCAGGTAGCTGCCAAGGACTCACTGTTTAAGAATCTGTGCAATCAGCTGTCTTTTTAAATTTGGGTCAAGTGTCTGGCATAGAGTTATTCCAGATCACTACACGAAACTGGGAAATGTTACCTCCATTGAATAATATATCTTAGAATCATTAGAATCACATCTGGCAAACTAAAATCCCCCCCCCCATATTAATGCTGTGTTGACATTTTCTTCTGTGTTTCATTGTTATTCTAACAATGGCAGAATCTGGGGGCAGAATGAAAAAAGGGATCAGCCTAGAATCCTTATGTAGCCACAAGTGAACTAAATCCAACCCATCCTCAAGAATGCTGTTGATCCTTATCTAGTGCAGACCAGGTGCTGGCCATTAGTTGAGAAGAGTCCTGTGCACAGGCACTTAGCAATAAATCAGCTTAATTGAACATTGAGTTGTGGACCTGATATGAGGGTCTGCTCTTTTGTGCCTGACAATTAGCATCAGCAAGCTCCCATCTATTTCATTTGTTCACACCCACCAGCTTGAAATGAGAGATAAGATGTGGTCCTCCAGCAATCAGCCTCTCCAATGCTAATGGCAGCCGTCCAATCTTGATGGCCACACATTTCCCATCGCCTTGGTCCATGGCTACCGCCATGTTTGAACACAAGCTGCTCGAGTGGATCATCCGTGATCCTTACAATGGATCATCACTCATGGTATCCCTCATAAGAGGCAGGGAATGACATTATTAGGGGAAACCATGTGGCATTTCTATGGTTCTGAGCCGAGACCTCTGGTGAGGACATGGCGGGCGGGATAGATGTCCTTGAAGGAGCAGGGATATCACTGTGGCAGAGATCAGTGGTGAGAGGGTGCAATTTGGCCAGTGAAATCCATGCTGTTAAATATAGTTTGGCCTTATTTGTTGAAGAAGGAGAACTTTGGTTCCCTTGCTGTTAAGCCAGAGGCTTTCAACGTGAAGGCCAAGGTGCAGTGAGATGGATGCAGTGCAGGCATTAACTTTGAAGTTCAAGGAATATGTATGTACTGTATGAGATAAAATGGTTGAAGTGGAAGAATTACCAAATTGTCCAGCTCAGGATCATCACTGAAGAATGGTTTGTGCTCCTGCTCTTGCTGGTGTACGAAGTTCTCAATGTCAACATCAAAGCTGGCAGAGGTGATGCATTCCGAGCCCTGGGTCGCTTGCTCGCATTTCTCAAATAGCAGCGTCAGGAGGGGGAAAAGAGGATGCCTAAAGGGAAAAGGAAATAGAATGACATTTCAGAGACAAATGCGTCAACAAGGCCATTTCTATCTCTCAATTTATATACAGCTTCCTGCTGTTCTATATTCATGAACGCTGCTGCTCCCCTTCAATTCTTATTCAAAGGAGATGAAAAAAAATCTCACGTTCCTCAACTTGCTTTAGTTAGGAAGTGCCTGAGAGGTATGTTCAAGCATCCATCCTTTCATCTCACAATTTGTTGGGGGCTTCCCAGCTTCCTAAGCTTCAGTTAAATCCTAAAGGAAAATATCAGGAGAAAAATCTCTCATAAAGCTTTTTTTTTCTCTTTCAGATCAGGAATCAAGAAAAGCAAGAGAGACTGCAGAATTAGTATAACTAGAAAAAAAAAAATCAAAACCTTCTACCATTGCCCAATGAGATAACTGAGAAAGCCCCATTAAAAGAAATTTAAAAGGAAGAGAGAGAGAAGGAAAGAAAGAAAGAAAGAAAGAAAGAAGGAAGGAAGGAAGGAAGGAAGGAAGGAAGGAAGAAGAATAGAGAGCGGGAAGGAAAGAAAAGACAGAAAGAAGGAAGGAAGGAGAGTGGGAAAAAGAAAGAAAGAGAGAGAGAGAGAGAGAGAGAGAAAGAAAGAAAGAAAGAAAGAAAGAAAGAAAGAAAGAAAGAAAGAAAGAAAGAAAGAAAACCCCAGGAAGGGGGCTGGGTTGGAGTGGGAAGTTTCTTTCAAAGAAGGAAAAAAAACCCAGGAACATACAGAGAAGAACAAAGGGCAGTCTTGCATACAAAAGTTCTTAGGTTTAAACTTAGAAAACTGGTGACAGGAAAGTCCTTCATTGTTTGACAGCTTGGAAAACAGCCAGAGTAGCCAAAACAAAGGACAAATAACCAAATCTGGTGTAAGACAGCTTTTGTCTTACACCAGATTTTCACGAATGTTTCAGCATTTCAACAGACAGCTAACACTTATATAAGATATACACCTGGAGAGTATGTTTATACAACCTGTATTCTGCTTTCATTTTTCTTTTTTGTAGTCTCCACGCAAGTCAAACTCATCAACATGCAGCAGTCTAGTCATGGACAACATGCACAATCTTGCTTTACAAATTGATTATCTACAATGTTAAAAGTTGGCCAGCACAGGATTTCGGAGCAAGCAAATGAATGGGATTCAGCTAAGAATAGTAAACTTAATGTAATTACTCATCTACTAAGCCTTATCAGACCCACAGAAACGAAGAAGGAGGGAAGAAGGAAAGGAGAGGTGTGTGAAACATTTCATCACCCAGTAATTTGCCACCAAGGCTGCTGAAATAGGGAACAGGGCCAGATGTATTATCCAAGATCCATTTTTCTTTTAATAAACTATATATATTTCTAAAAATCTTCTTCTCATGACCTTTATCTGGGCGAAACAGCGCATCATAGAGTGACAAATTTTGAAAGAAGGTACCTTAAATGGGCTAACTTACAGAATGTGTCCAAAATCTGGGACCCAGAACTCCCAAGACAATAATATTTGGGAAAGTTGTATCTGCTTCCATGCTTTAGCCTCCTGCTATGCTGCTGCTGCATGACATCATTTTATTTATTAAATTTATATGCCACCCATCTCATTATCCAAAGAGACTCTGGGTGACAGTTTCCTAACCATATTCACAATCCTTCACTCCTTCCCCCACCGGGCAGCAGGCCATGAATTAGGAAGGGAGAGAGGGAAAAAGATTTCCAAATTTCCACAAGAAAACTCAGTGGGGAAGCCAGCAGGAAATCGGAAGTTCCTCCTGCATTCACTGCTTTTTTGACCACCCTTGGTCATTCTGTTTCTCCATTTAGGTAAGGAAATATCTCTGAAATGATGACACAATGGGGCATGGGTTGCTGTGTGCGTTGTATGTGTGTGTGTGTTGTGTGTGTGTGTATGTGTGTGTGTGAGAAAGCGGTAAAGAGATTTTTTTTCCTCCTTACCTTTGCATATGTGAGGTATTGAAAAGAAAAGAAAAAAAGGATGTCCATTTTGCTAAGGGCTGAAAGTCTCACTCTTTATTTAATCAAAATATGTTTTCCTTTCTTTCAAGCGTGTTATTCTGAATGCTTCGTCTGGAAGTTATCCCACGAGTCTGGCAAGTTGAACATTCTATTATACATAGCCACAAATCAGAGGCACCGATGGGCTAGCCAGGTTTTCCAGGATCAAAACAAAGGGAAGAGCAGGTGAAGGGGTTAAACTCTGATAGAAGTCTTCATTTGCAGCCACTAATACTGCACCATATTACAGTCTAATCTAGACTGATCCCAGTTTAATGCAAGATTCTTCCAGCCATGAGCAGAATACGGAGGTGGGGGCAGGTGGAGGGAAGTTTCCCTGGTCATAATTTAGGCAGCCCTCCCGAGGCTTAGCTGAGGGATATGAAAGGCAAATTCCAGACGGTGTTATGAATTATTTCGCCTTATGAACCTTCCCACTCTCAACAGATGCCTGCTGCCATTTAAACAGCCATTAGATCAATTAGAAATGAAAGGCACAAATCGACCCTGCGCAAGGGCACTAAATTACTAGGAACTAATAATCCGAGCAGTAATGCCAGGTGGTTGGAGTTCAGCGACGTGCAGGCCCTCCTCCTTTCCCCAAACCTTTGCACACAGCACCAATTCCTTTTCAATGTTATGAAGGAAATTAGAAGCACAAAGTGATGGGAGAAGAGAGGGAATCGCTGCTTTGAACTCACCTCACCTGGCCTGGTGAAAACTCTGAGGAGCAAACTTACACAAGGCTGGCCCAAGACAGAAGCAAAAACAAACAAACAAACAAAAAAACAATGCTAGACTGCTCCTTTAGACCAGCCCAATCCTAGATAAACTGCCCAGAGTCACATAGTTGATATGGTTAGGGTAAAAATTAGATAGATAGATAATAGAGAGACGATAGCTAGCTAGCAAGCTAGCTAGATGGATGATAGATAGATCATAGATGATACATGATTGATAGATGATAGATAGATGATATAGATAAATAGACAATAAATATAATACATGATAGATGATTGATAGATGGTAGATACAGTAGATAGATGATAGATGATTGATAGATGATAGAGATGATAGATATGTAAATAGATGATAGATAGATAGATAGATAGATAGATAGATAGATAGATAGATAGATAGATAGATGGTAAATGATAGATAGATCATGGATGATAGATGATTGATAGATGATAGAGAGATGATAGATACGTGAATAGATGATAGATATAGATAGATGATAGATGGTAGGTAGGTAGGTAGGTAGGTAGGTAGGTAGGTAGATAGATAGATAGATAGATAGATAGATAGATAGATAGATGATAGATGATAGGTAGGTAGGTAGGTAGGTAGGTAGATAGATAGATAGATAGATAGATGATAGATGATGGATAGATGATAGCTAGCTAGCTAGCTAGATGATAGACAGACAGACAGACAGACAGAAAGACAGGCAAGCAGGCTCCTAAGGAAGAAAATCCTTTGGAGAGTTTTCTTCTATGCAACAGCCTTTCTCAGCCTAGAGAAAGGTAGTCCTTGAATTATGACCAATCATTTAGTAACCATTTGAAGTCATGAGCAATCCCCAAAAGGGGACTTATGACCTGGATTCAAAGTTCCAATGGCTAGACCCTCTCTTGGGACATGTGACCAAACTTCAGGCTTTGGGCAACATGGCCGCATTATGGCAATTTCCATGTCCTATGGTCACATGACCAGGTATTATGATGATTTGCTGCAAAATAGGACTAACTTCCAGTTTTCCTCAAGACAGCACCTGTAGTGAACCATTGGTTTGCTTAATAGCACTGGCAGCCACTTTATGACTGTTGCATTGGCTTAATGATTACAGCAAAAGGCTTGTAAAATCAGGCCGGGGATATGATCGACTCATTTTATGACTGTTATGACTTTCAACTGTAATGAGCAGGTTCCATATATCAAGGGCTACCTTCAGGTTAAAAGAACTGTTGGATTTCTCACAGATCTCTGGGTTGTCAATAGGTAATTGTCATCAGATTAAATGTGAAAAACCCAGGTTTTATAAATGCATTCAGTCTGTGCTGGTTTTAAGATGCTCCCTTGTCAAGACTTACCAAATATATGTCACCACCTATTTACCCTCTGAGATCTCACCACAAAATATTCACAGGAGAAACCATACTACTACATAGCATCTGGATATCGCCTGTCCTCAACAATCCCCCCATCCCCCACCCATTTTAGAGGATATTCTACATTTTATTCTTTACCGCTGCTTGGGTAGCTCTGCCGTCCATATTTTTTAGAGGATCAAGAATGCGTTATGGAAGTACTGGCAAAATATTGGCTATTTTCATGGCTGATAGCAAGTGAAACCTTATAAGGTATTGAAGGAAACTCATCAGATTCTGAACACTGCAGCCAGCTGTGGAAGAAATGTGATAAATTGACTCAGAATTTGGGAGTACCATCAGTTTTCTCTTTCCAAGAATTAATGCCATTTGTGGCTATAAAAGAGACAAGGACAATGTTTCAATCTGGCATATTTGTTTAGCCAGTATGAATGGAAGCATCCATTCATCTTGGGAAAAAGTCAATCCTGAAGAGTATGAAGAAAATAATATCATACAGGAATGTTTTTATTGATTTCCTCTGCCTAAGAACTTATTTCATTCACTGAGACAACCTGAAATAGTTTAAGTGATAGGAAAAAAAAAACAGTTGGGAAGAATATTGTAATAAGGGCAGTTGGGCTTTCCCAATGGAGAACTTTGTTTTTGCTCTAGAGATCTCAACCCCATCACAGTCTACTTGATATCCATCCATTTTTTTTTAGAGTATAAGATTATTTGGAAGTAACATTAACTTTCAAGTAATCCATACTTGTAGTTCAGCCTCTGTGTCAAGTGAATATGCAAGTGCTCAGAACTGGATTTTGAGGGAATGGAAGTTGCTCCTGGGGCTGGTTGACAATGTTCAGCCATCCAGCAATGACTGGGTTG